CCCCTAAGGCCCACTAGGCCAAAAACGGGCACAGAGGGTGCTGCAAAATGAAAAAAAAAGAGTTTTGACTCCTCCCAATACCTGACCATATAGCCATGCCCACCCAGGCACATGACCACCTGACCACCTAGCCATGCCCAGAACTGGTAGTAAAAAAATTTGAATTCCACCACTGACACACAGTGTATATAGACTTTTGTTTTTTGTTTTAAACAACTTGCTTCTTCTAAGCAAGTATCTCTTGTTTTGATAGTCAAAATAATGTTTAATATATTAGACATTAAAGGCTGAAAAACCTGTAAACCTCCATAGGATTTGAAATATAATTATTTTAAGGTCAAATATAGCTTAAATATATATAGCTCAAATATAAATATATTTTGAGATCAAATTACCATCGTTCAGAAAAATGCAGAGAAACTATTAATTTTATAACTCTTTCTCATGTTTCTTTTCTCTTATTTTGTTTAAAGGAAAATAATACTGATTTATTTTGTTTGATTGGTTATTATGATTCATATTTATGGTTCCATTTCTGTTTGAACTCAAGGCCCTAGAACTCAGTGTTTGAGTTCAGGTTCACATTCAGCTTGATTCTGTGATATGAATTTTACATCCAATTGAACATTTATTGGTACAAAAGAAGCAGCCCAGGATTATCCAATTGAGGTACCACAAGTAAAAGTAATCTCATTCCATCACATCTAGGTTCCATATCTATTGAGTCTTGCCCAAATTGGACCATGCACCAACTGGAATTAAACAATTGAATTAGAAATGATTAGACATAATTCTTATTCAGTTTTTTTGGGCCAGTTATGATACAGAGGATCATTTCTTTCTGATGATGGAAAGAATATGCTTAAGCCACATCATTAATATAACCTATTTGAAATGTTGTAATTATATTGATGGATTACATATATTTTGCACTTATTAGAGTTTATAGATTACTAACTTGGAAATGCTATCAAAATATTGAAGTTTCATTTAGCTTTTTAGTGCATATCCTTTGATCACATTTTTTTTATTTATAGCATATATTCAGCACTAAAAATAAAATGTAAAGATTTAGTTGTTATACTCTGTACTAAATAACAAACAATTTTAGCAATGCAATCTTATAAATGTATATTAAGAATACCCATTGGATTAAAATGAATACAATATTAGAGGAAGAAAGAAATAGAAATAACATATCTGGATAGCAGATAAGTATAGTTTGTGAAATAATTTCAAAGACCTACAAATTAAGCTTGTATGTCTATGGGCTTATATATGGCACATCTTACTCCCTCAATATTTCACATACAATTAGGGGGAAGTACACAGGTCTATCCCTCTGCTACCTATATATCCTTGTGTTAGTGAATAATGAATCTTGAGCTCTCTGAAATGGAATAAGTATACATTAATTTCTAAAAGATGTAATATTTGCTTTGCCTCATTGCTACTATAATGGCAGCAATAGATTAAAACCAGCAAATAGCTACCTGAAGTCTAGTTATTATGTATATCAACCACATGAATATGCCGGCACACAGTTGATGCCAAGAGTTAATCTCTGAAATCATTTATTAAAGAAAGGTTTTCTGAAAATGTAAAATGTTTGCAAATACCTTAATAATTATATCCAGTATCTTTTCATAACAATATAAAAGTTAATCCCCACCACGACCCCAGAACTTGGATATCTTTTCTGTTCTAGTGGAGATTGAAAATGCTTTAAAATTATTATTATTATAAGAGTAAATTGTGCAAGGGTTGTAAAATATTGTTTTGTATTGTATTGCTACCTACTAGCTTATCCCTAATAATTATTAGTCAACTACATTCTTTTTTCAAGTTATGCTTTTACTAACAGCAGTTTGTGCATGTTAAAGAAAAAAGGCTAACCTGCCTTAAGGAATTGTGAATGATTTCCTTAAGTAAAAATAGGACCATATTTGTCAGAGTACTTTTTTCTAGGGAAGTAAAACAAGAATATTCTTATTAAATGAACTGGAAAAATGGTAATCAAAAGAAATAATCATTCAGATTAGAGATGAACCAAAATTAGTGAGAGGTAACTTTTTTTTTTTTTTGCAAATAACTATGAATTCTATCCCTTTACTTGATTTGGGAATAGTGCTTTGTGGAATAAAGAATGGTGACACTGTCAGAGTCAAATGGATGATTAAATCTTGTATGAAGTCCCAAAAGACATATAGAATTTTTTTTGCCCCCTTTCTGAATTGGTGGAAAGGAAGAAATTATTGAGTCTAAAGACTATGTTTTTATATTGAAAATCTTTCCCCAAATTTGGTATACCGTTATCTTAAATCAGAGACAGAGTGTAGCTCAAGAGAAATAAGACTTACTTGTGAGATCGCATTCTAATCTCTTATTATTGAGAGAGAGATCTCCAAAAAACTAGCATGCCTTAAAATTTGCTGGAGAAAAATAGTTTTTTTTCTCTCTCTTACAGATCAAAGCTCTAAATCTTCAGGAAAGTCTCTTTATACCAGCAAATAAAATGAAGCTCAGAGATAAGTCAAGTGAAGCCCACAGACAATAGATCCACTGTGAAACTGAAAATATTTAGATAAATGAATGGGAGCTGAGAGAAAGCACAATGCAATGCTGTCTCTTGCTGGAAGCACAGTATTCTTAAGAATGCAACAAAAGCAATTGTACTATAATAGAAGTAATATTTTTATAATAAAGTCTTGAACAACATAAAGAGAAATCCAGAGGTTTCTTTTTTAAACAGGCCAGTGAAAATCTCATCTTCCCAATACATCTATCTTTCATAATCAGGGCTTCTAAATTTAATATATGTTCTGCTCTTGAGATATACCACATGTTAAAAGTAAATATTTCTTCACTGGGAACAAAGAATAAATATTCACTATAGAATTTTGGAAATACTTATATGAATAAATTGATCAGGATTAAAATGAATATAAGAAATTAGCAATAATGTCACAAATAAACATCTGGATATTCTTTATGTGTAATGATCAAAGAGACCTGAGTGCCTGTAAAGGGTATTCACATTTGAAGTTAACTTTGCTAAAATGATGAAAAAGTATATACTTGGCAGCCTCAGCTTTTCTAGCACAAAGTAAAGCTGAAATCTGCAAGAAATTTCTCTTTTCAATTTTTTCTTCTATAAGTCCCTCACCAGCCATTTTGCAGATCAGAACAGTGTCTTCTTCTGCTATTTAATTTACTACATCAATTTCAAGCAAAAATAACAAAGAAGACAAGCACTTTGAATATTTTATGGGAAGTAAATTGAAATTTGTGTGAGCTCTAAAGAAGGTTTGTGCTTTATAGTAATTCCTGTTTATATTAACATAATTTGCAATGGAGACATTTCTTGGAAGCTGCACTCAAGGCATTGAAATAGAATTCAAAAGCCAGGAAATGGAAGAAAATATTCTTATACAATAAAAACTTTGGCTGCCTGACATTTCCAAAACTTTTATAATGTTAGTATTAATAGTATTTTTATTTGAGATGTTAAAACCATCACAATGTAGATACATTAATTGATTCTATCAAAATAAGAAGCTTAAACTTTGTATTTAAAAAGTCAACATGTATTTGTTAATTAGAATCTTCATATGAAAAAGACGAGAACAAACCTAAAATAGAAGTCATCTGTAAAGGATTTGCATCAAATAATATGGATTGGATCTGAAATATCTATTTCATGATAGGAACAAACTTTTGTTCACAAATCTATGAATTTTTCAGGGAAGAGAACTATATATGTGTCGAGTGACAAGTGTACTATAATTTAATTGCTTTTAATAAATGTCTTAAATTAGCCATTTGGCCAACTGAAAAGGCATAATTTTCTACAGTTTAATATTCTTTTAGCATTCTATCATGGAATAGTTAACTGAATTCTATTCCTATCTACTATCTTCTCCAATATGGGAGCTGCTGTTTCTATGTGACTCTGTGCAACAATATGAGATAAACCAGTTATGGCTAACCTTTTTGTCATTGCTTGCTGAAAGTGCACGTGTGCGCACCTGAGAGCACGCATACATGCCTGCACCCATAATGCAATGCATGCACGACCCCCCACGCTTCCCCTGCCCCCTGCGCATGTGTGTCCCGCATGCGTCCCGCTCCCACGCATGCACAGTGGAATTGAGCTGGGGCGACAGCTCGCGTGCCCGGAGAAATGGCTCTGCGTGCCACTTCTGGCATGCATGCCATAAGTTTGCCATCATGGAGATAAACAGTGCCACACCCAAATGTTTGTGTGAATAAGAAATCATTTGTAATTATAAATTTGATGAGTATCCAATATCTCCAATAAATCTTCTTGTGTGATCTCTGATTTATCACTATGCAGTTAGGCTCAATCAAAAATACAAAACATAAAATGAAATTTAAAAGCTACATTTCTTTTCTTTAACAGTTACTACTTCCTACATTACAGCAAGTGCTGAATTTTTTTTCATTTTCCTATAAATACTATCTTAAAGTATTCTACAGTGCTTTCTTATATTTTCATATAAATCAAATTTATTGTCACCCTGTGCTTAAACAGCAGCTATAAATGATAGATCAAGCACCCTGGATATGATCATATAAATGTTCTCTCGGCTATATGATATTGTGAACATTTCTCTGTGACAGCAGAAAATCAATAGGAAATGGAACAATCCCAATTTTTCTCACACAAATTCATGTGTTATGTTGTTTATGCAAATATCCAGTCTTATTGGTGTGTTATCTCTGTTATCTTATTTATCTATTAAAATTACTGATAAAATATTCCATAGTTTCAGAGAATCAACATTAGACTTCTCAAACAGAATTGCTAGCCCTTATTTGATCCTTCCCGTAGTAAGTTCTTATTAGTGGTTCCCAAGTTCTTTTTGGTTGGATTGTTAGACTTCTTGGTTACTATCAAATTTTGCAGCCTTAACCTTTCTGATGACCTCTGCTGTACATGTTCATCTCAAATGACAGGATAAAGATTTTCACTGATTTCATGCCTCTTTTATAGCTGGCAAAGAAGGAAGATAATGGAGTGTCTGATTAGTATGTGCTATTGGTGGTTGAAGTGTTCCAGACCCAGTGTTTGTTGAAAGGCTGGGGGATGAGCACATAGATGGACAACTTGTGCCCAGTTTGGTCTGAATGTTTGCTCTCCCATAGGAATAAATTTTCCTTTCTAAGTTTAAAGATCGTATTTGTGAATTATTTCCATCGGTCTTTCCTTCTAGAAAATAAGTCAGCATTTCACCTTTGCCTTTCACACTGACTTTCCCCCGACAAACACACTCATAATTGCACCTCTTCAATATACGTTGTACTTCTTCCGTAACCTGTAAATTAAACAAACCTCAGTCACCAGTGATTACTAGATAACAGATCTTTCTTTAATAGCCAGTTCCCTAAACTTCATTTTTTTAAAGAGAAAAGAGCATTTGTTGTGGCTGTTTCAAACTCCATTCTAAAGGAAATCTTGTTCTGCTTTCATAATTATCTTTTAAACACCAAACAGAATTTGTCTCAAATCCTGTGAGGATTTTGGATTTTTCATCTTTTTTCCTTGCAACTTTTAATATCACAGGGGAATTGTTCAATATTCTTGTTGAATAAGAACCCACTCGCTCATCTTTTTTTTACTAGTCATATTGATTAGTATTTTGTTTTCTTTCTCTATTTTTATTGTTTATTTTTATTGTTCTATGATTTTACTTTCACTTTGTTTAAACTTCCTTTTTATTTCTTTGTTTTTTTATTGTTGTAACCTCCTAGAATAACTCCATGACAAGATAGGTGGCAAATAAATTTAATAATAATAATAATCTCAAGAAGTAAGAGCAGCAAAACAATATCTCTCTCCTCTTATTGCATCTGCAGAGTGCCACTTCTCTATTACCCGGTTACCTGGTCCTCTTGGATAATGGGATGCCAGAGATTTACCTTCAGGGCTTCACAGAGGAATTTGCTATGGTTGGTGGCTTGAGGGTGTTCTGTCCATCTTTTTAACTTTGTTATTTTTTTAGGGATATTATGGGTTTTTTATTTTTAAACCATTCAGACAATGAGATGGGTGATGTATAATTTTGATTAATAAATAAAGTAAATAATTTTTCTATAGATGAAGCTTTACTATGTTCTGAGAAGTAACCAATGGGTATTTTATTAAGATTGATGTAATTTATAAGAGAACTCTGAAAATACTCACTTGAATTTTACCTTGTACTCCAGTACTATCCATCCTGCTAGCAACATTTACAGTATTACCCCAGATATCATATTGAGGTCTTCTGGCACCAATGACACCTGCCACTACAGGGCCTACATTAATACCTGAAAAAGAAGCCAAATACTTAAAAAAATGAAATCTAGTAGTCATTGGGCTTGGTAAGGAAGTATCTGTGTCCCCTACCCATCTCTTTTTAAGGATATATTTCCATTCTACTGAAATTGCTTTTTGATATTAAGAAGCTGAAATGGAGAAATAATATCCAGTCTATAGGACATTCCCAAGTTACCCTCAATTGTAAACAGAAGAATGCTGACTTTCTTCTCCTATAGGTTTCCAGGGGACAAAACGAATTATCTAGTTAATAGATAATTTCCCCAAATTCCACTAATAAACAATAAATAAAAACTCATTGGCTGTGAAAGAAAGACCTATAGTACTTGTTCAATTAACCCTGAATAACTTTATTATAGCTGCCAACATGTTTGATAAGCCTAAGCTTATCTTCAGGAGGAGTTCCACTTTGGCACAATCTCTGGGGAGATGGTGGTGAGGAAATGAATGTTTAATAACTGGACACTATCAATAGCTAATTGTTTAGGGTGGTACAAGCTGATTTTTCGGTTCTTCTTGCAAACAGTAAGAAAATGACTAGGAGGAGGGGATGGTGGTATAAACAGAAGAAGAACAATGAGAAAATATCTGGCTTTCCCACTGCAGACATATTATATTTGGAAGTGCCTTTTTGCTGCTTATGTTTTTTTTAAAATCTCTCTGAAGATTAAAACATAATTTTCTTAAAGACTCTCGTAATCTCTCTGGAAACTTCCCCCTATGGACGAATGAGGAATAAAGGAATTCCAATTTCTACAAGACTGTTATTCTTATTATGATAATTCATCCCTGTACATTTTCCACATCTTTAATATTAATTAACAATTGTCAAGTTAAACAGAAGAAAATTATTTATGCAGCATTTAGATATAATATTAGCTGCTATATACTGTCAGAATGTAGGATTTATTTTGTTTGTAAAATCTCTGCTATGAATGCGGGCAGAAACAGTAACAGAATATAATTCATTCTTGAAAATGTAACTCACCAACCCGAAGAACAAAATCATTGTAGGACTGATAGTTGATTTCATCAAGAACATCAAACATTTCTATTGCAAAATCAGCCAGTGTACTGAGATGGAAATAAATCGATTTCTTTGTCTATATTTTAAAAAGAATTTTTTATGTCATTCATAATGTTGTATCTATTAATGTAACACAGTTTTAACAAGTTTTTAAAACAGACGAAGAATCTCTTTAAATATAAATAAATATACAGGGGACATAACAGGTTAGAAATGTTAAATACTCATTTTGGGGAGGAATTAATTTCACAAGACCAAAACTGTTGTACAGAAGAGTGAGGACTCTAGGATTAGAAAATTCAGACGATTATAAAAATTTACAAATAGTTATTGTATCAATAGCAGTTAATTATTAGTCATGTTTAGTAAGATTAAATTATTCGGGAGGGGGCTTCACAGGAATTAATAATTATTGATTTCATGTCCTGCACCTGGGTTTCTTATAGGTATCTTTTTAGCCACTGCAGAAAACAGACAGAAAACAGATTACTGGATTACATGACATTTGTTTAGTTCAGCTTTATTAGCTCTGATCTGATTAATGCTTGCTGAAATGTTAACATGATGTGTGTTTGTGTGCCTGTGCGTGTGTTATATTTATTATATATTTATATTTATTGTATATTTTGTGTGTGTATGTGTGTGTGCGTGTGTGTGCACATGCATGTATATGGGGGTAGATTAGAACCCCATTTTACATCTAGAAAACACAAGCAATCCTCTCTCTACTATTGCTGCACAATTTGTCTTTGGTGACATAGATTCGTTCATAGGTTTTACAAATTTCTAGTTTCTTTTGAAGCAACTAGTGACATAGGATCATATGGCTGGAAGGGGCCAAGGAGGTCTTCTACTGCAGGGATCTCCAACCTTGGCAACTTTAAGATTTGTGGACTTCAACTCCCAGAATTCCTCTGGGAGGAAGTTTCCTCTGGGAAGGAACTCGAGTTGAAGTCCATAAAGTTGCCAAGGTTGGAGACTCCTGTTCTAGTGCAACACCCTACTCAAGACATGAGTCTTATAGTTCCTTGTCAAATGGTTGTCCAGTCTATTTTTGAAAATCTCTAGTGATGGAGCACCCACAACCCAAGGAGGCAAGTTATTTCATTGATTAATTGTTCTTACTATCAAAAAATTCCTTGTTATTTTTACGTTGTATCTCTCTTTGACAAGTTTTCACCCATTACTTCTTCTCTTGGCTTTAGAGAATAAGTTAATTCCTCTTCTTCATGAGAACCATTCAAAATATTGGAAGACAGTTATGTCCACACTATCATTCTCTTCAATAGATTAGAAATATCTAGGTCCCACAACAATATGATGTATAACAATCAGCCTCCAGATCCTTCATCAACTTTGTTGCTCTTCTCTGCATACTTTCTAGGGTCTCAATACCATTTTTTATCATGGTGATCAGAACTGTGTACATTATTCCAAGTATTGTCTCATTAGCATGATATAAATTGGTACTGACACTTCTCATTGTCTTGATGCTATTCCACTGTTGATGTATTGGCTTTTTTAGCAGCTGCAGCAAACTGCTGGCTCATACTTAAATTATGGTCACTAGGATACCTAGATCCCTCTGAGTTACTATTGTTGAGCCAGATATCACCTATTCTATACTCATGCATTTTGTTTTTCCTACCTAAGTGTAGGATTTTACTTTTCTTGCCACTGAACTGCAGCTTGTTGTAAAGGGCCCAATGCTCAAGTCCATCAAGATCCTTCTAGATCTTGAGCCCGTCCTCTAAAGTATTATTTTTCCTCCCTGCAAATTTGATAAGTTCCCCTTTTATCTTTTTATCTAGATCATGTATGAAGATGTTGAAGAGTACTAGGTATTAGACAGTACCTTGGGGTACCCCATTGCATGCTTCACTCCATGTAGATGTAGTTTCTTTGAGGACTACCTGTTGAGTGTGGTTGGTAAGCCAACTGCCAATTGTTCTATCTTAGCAAGATGTAGGTTGTGTCATGCTGAAGTCTAAGTGTATTATGTCCACAACATTTCTCTGGTCCACTAATTTAATTAGGTTATCAAAAAAGGCAATCATGTGTGGCATGATCTATTTTTAACAAATCCATGCTGTCTCCTATTAATCACCTTGTTTGTTTTCAGATTCTCACAAATCTTTTGCTTTGGATATTGCCATGTCTTTGAGTTGTAGATTTCATGTTAAACATGAATAGTTTTATTCAGTTTCCACCAACAGATTCAAAGCAAACTCTTAACTTCAGATGTGATATTACTTAAATAAAATACCCCAAAGGAAGATAATTTACCTTGCTATCTGTAGTTGGCACAAGGCCTACCGCTGCCATATATGTGCTTCCAATTGTCTTGATTTTTTCAATGTCTTTGTAATATTCTTTGTCCATAAGCTTTGTTTAAAACACAAAAGTATTAAATATTGCATAATATTTCAGATAACAAAAAATAATGTGTGTATCTGCTGTTTTAGAAGTTATCCTTCTTACTGCCTCATACCTATAGCAAATGTCATCTAAAATTTCAGTGGCCATGAAAACGATTATGGCTCAATCCTGTTATAATTTCATTAGCATATTAACTCAGCATATCAAGCAAAACATATTTATCTTTGCTTCTTTTGCTTCGTACAGTAAAAATGAGAAAGTATACACAGTTTTTGGATTTCCCCCCCAAACTTTTAATAATAATTTCATTCTCAGATATACAGCTCCATTGGAGAAGAGCTTAGAATGTTAGGAACAATTCAAGCCATTGTCAAATGTCTTCTACTGTGGAGATGCCACGGAGTGATGTAGAAATAGCACTTAGACTTATATACTGCTTTATAGTGCATTACAGCCCTCTCTAAGTGGTTTACAGAGTTAGCATATTGTCTCCAACAATTTGGGTCCTCATTTTACCCACCTCAGAAGGATGGAAGGCTGAGTCAACCTTGAGCCTGGTGGGATTTGAACTGCCAAATTGTAGGCAGCTGGCTGCAGAAGTAGCTTGCAGTACTGCACTCTAACCACTGTGCCACAGAGGCTCCTGTGAGATATATTGGAAATCAGGCTAGGGAGGATGTGGGAGTGGGAGGGGTGGGGTAGAATGGCTCCTTCTATTTCATCTAGATAATTTTTAACTTTTATCTACTTTTGCTACTCCCCCCACTTCCCCAGAATTGGTACAATTCTGCTCAATTTTCAAAAGGATTACAGGCAGGCAGAAAGAATCCCAAAGCTCTTTACACAATTCCTTTCAAAAACTGCACCTGGTTTGAAAAAAATAAAAAGGTTGGAATTAATTTTTCTTGGTATAAGGGGGGGCGGGTTTAAGAGAAATGCTGTAAGGCTTTCAGATTTTTATTGCTACTATCTTTATCAATAGATTCCTAATAATTCTTGTGATGTTTGTTCCCTGATCTGTTCCACCTTAATGAGGTGACATACAGTATATATGGAAAGAACACAGCAGTTGCAATGAAATATAGCTGGTCCTGTATGTTCTAAAACTACCAATTAATTATTACCAAAATGGCATAGAACCTTTGAGTTTTATTATTCCATGAATCAATTCTACACATGGGAAGATATTGAATGAGAGGCAAACAGCAAGTAAATAAAAAAAAAAAATTCAAGCTAGACTGCAGTTTAAATGGTGCAGCATTGTACCGTTGTATAATATAATTCCTTTTAATTTTTTTGAGAGATATTTATGACATATATCCAGGCTATCCGCAGGACCCTTCCCTTAAGGACATCTATCTGTCCTCCCATCTGTATGCCAGAAACTAAGAGGATCTAGAATGGGGAGTCTCAGCCTCTACTCTCAGAATATTAGCACTAGGATAGATCTTCTCCACAGCTGAATACTGCACCCCTGTTTGGCTTATTAGCTGCCACACTAGCAAGATCAATGCTAGACTAAATGATACAATGGATCACAAGCGGTTGCATAAAATCTATTCCTACTTGCTGGCTCCCCAACTTCAGCCACATTTGCACCACTAGCTCTACGAAGGCAAAAAGCCTTAGTGAAGGAGTACAGCAAAATTATGAGAAACCCACTTCTTTCTGTGCACACTGATCTTTCTCATCTATCAATTGGCAGGCTTAAATCCAGGAAGCCCTCTCTGGCATTCACTCAACAGCTGTCTAACAACTTTGATATCAATTCACAGTGGAAAGCCAAATGGGCTGCTGAACATCCAGATACAGTCAGTTACATAGATGACTGTACACAAAAGGTGCCAGGTTTTGACCTTACTTGCCAGCATTGGTCAACTCTGAACAGGATCCGTACCCAACATGGTGTCTGCCAGGAGTCATTGTTTAAGTGGGGTCTTGTCTCTACCTCTTAAGTGTGACTGTGGTGCTCCTTGACAAAATATTCATCACATTATGTCTGAATGTTCATCAAGAAGTTACACTGGCCCAATGGTGATGGACACACTCCTGTTCCTCTAATGAGAACTAGGAAGCATCTCTTTTCCATAGCAGTCCCTGCCTTACGGAACAACCTGAAGAATATTCTCTAGTTAAGGAACCATATGTTTATTTTATCAGAAATTAATATTAAAGTTAATTTTGCTTATAAATTATTATAATTTCAATTTCCAAATGTATTTAGTAGCTCTGTTTCTCCACAATAACCCTGTGAGGGAGATTTGGCCAAGAAAGAGCAAGAGAGACACAGACCCAATGGTAATAGTAAAGACAAATTAGCTCTTACCTCATCAAAGTCAGCTATAATTTCATTTAACAGGCGTAAACATTCTACTCCCATATTATTACCATCCAGTTCAATGTAAAAATCATTGAAATTTGGTATGGATGCAAACATCACTCCTACTTGTGAATATGACTGGTAATACAAGTCCTGTAATAAATGATTACATTCTTATTAGATAAAAAATGTTCAAGGAATATTATATCCAGGGGTGGGATTCAAATTTCTTAACAACCGGTTCTGTGGGCTTGGCTTAATTTGTGGGTGTGGCTTGCTGACTGGGCATGACTTGGTGGTCATGTGACTGGCTGGGTGTGGCTTGGTGGTCATGTGACTGGGTGGGTGTGGTCAACTCAATGTCACATCAAGGCATGCCTCCCCAGGCCCTTCCCCTCCCAGTGATTCCTTGTCACACCCAGCTTCAACTTATCTATAGTTCTGTAAAATGTTGTTCACCCTTTTTTGACTTTATTATCTATGTACTATAGATGTACTTTTATGGACCACTGAAAGGAGGAAATGGCTCACATGCTTTGCCCAAGAGTGTGATAGACAACAGGCTTTTCAGGGGCTGCCAGAAAGAAGGGGGGGCAATGTATTTTCCAAAGCACTAGAAAGCAAACAAGAAGCAACAGATGGAAACTGAACAAACAGAGAAGCAATCTAAAAGTAAGGAGAAACTTCTTGACAGTGGACCTGCTTGTCTCCAGAAGTTCTGGGTGCTCAATCACTGGAAGTTTTTAAGAAAAGACTGGACAGCCATTTCTCTGAAATGGTATAGGGTTCCCCCCCAAGGTCCCTTCTAAGTATTATTCTGACACCTTTCCCAGGATTTCTACTCAGAGTTTGGCACCCTCAGTTTTCCTGCCTGAGCAGGGGGTTGGACTAGAATACCTCCATAGTCCCTTTCAACTCTGTTAAACACACATGTATTTATGCTCTGGACTATAGACATATAAACCCTGAAAAATACCTGGGCAAAAGAAAGGCAGTAAAATCACTCTCGGTGTAAGGACAGTGTAAAATATTAATATATGATAAATAATGGAACAATTAAAAATAATAGCACAGTTTTTTCTCTCTCCTCCTTCCTTCCTCTTTCTTTCTTTCTTTCTTTCTTTCTTTCTTTCTTTCTTTCTTTCTTTCTTTCTTTCTTTCTTTTTCTTCCTTCCTTCCTTCCTATTTCTTTTTCTTCCTTCCTTCCTTTTTCTTTCTTTCTTTGTTTCTTTCTCTCCCTTCCTCTTTCTTTCTTGCTCTTTTTGCTTGCTTGCTTCCTTCGTTCTCTCTCTCTCTCTCTCTCTCTCTCTCACACACACACACACACACACACACACACACACACCACAGTCTCTCTCATGACACACACACACCTGGTCTGGGATGAACTGATCCAGTGACCACCAGAGCAGCGGGCGGCAAGAAAATGAAGAAAGCAGCAGCCCAGGGACTCGCCCTCTCTTTCGAAGCACCATGGGGGGGTGGCGAGTGGTGGGCGCAGTGGGCACTGTGGTGGGGCTACGGAAAGCTGTCTCAGGAGTTCCTGCACTACCTTTCAGGGCACCTCCGCCGCCCCTTTCAACTCCAGCGCAGCAGAGAAAGTGAATGGCTATGGCATGCTCTGGTTGCTGCCATCACTGCATCACTCAGTGCAGTGCTTTGGACTGGCCCAGAAACGGCGCCCCACCTTGTCCTCCTCTTGCCTGGCTGCTGGCTTCTTGATGCAAGCAGAGGCTGCTGGTTGGAGCGAGGGGAATCACAGTGCTGGGCTCTCGCGGCGGTGAGTGTCAAGGGCATAGCTAGAATTGGAATAAAAGGCTGTGCGGCTGAGGTGGAAAGAACTGAGGCAACACCCAGTAGCTTGGATGAGAAGATGAGAGCGAGGCCACAGCCACTCTCGCGTCAAGAAGCTTTGGTCCTTTCTGCCAGAGATGTGCAGCCTCTTCCAGTTCTAGCTATGCCCTTGGCACTCGCTGCCGCAGGAGCCCAGCACTGCAGTTCCCCTCGCTCCAACTAGCAGTCTCTGCTTGTGTCAAGAAGCCGGCAGCCAGGTGGGAGGAGGCCCAGGATGGGCACAAGGTGAGGGAGGCCCGGGGACGGCTGGGCGAAGCCCGGGGATGGCTGGGTGAGGCCCGGGGTGGCTGGGAAAGGCCCGGGGAGGCTTGCGGGTGGCCCAGTGAGGCCTGGGGACAGCTGGGCGAGGCCTGGAGAAGGCTGGGCGAGACCTGGGGAGGGAAACAGGATTCAACCGGGCTGCTTCTCTGCTGCCCATGAGCCGTTTCCTGAAGGGAGAGGGACTTGCAAACTTTTTCCTGTGCCGGGAAAGACTCTCTTGCTCTCCCAGCTGGAGCAGCGAGAGAAGCATCCACTGACTTGGCCGAAGCCAATGAGCCTCACCATGTGTTCCCCGGTGGAAGGTAAGTGGTGGTGGAGGGGGAAAGGTGACCGGGGCTTGCACTCACCCAGGGAGATCATCAGATCAGGCAGGGCTGCAGCGAAAGGCAGGTAGCAATGGCTGGCCTGGCAGGCAGGCTGCAGACATGTTGCATATACGCATGATGTTGCGCATGCGCAATAGAGACTAACTGGGCAGGGAGTGGAGAAGTGGGCGGAGAGAGCCGGCGCCCAATTTACTGGTTCTCCGAACTACGGAGAATCATAACCGGTAGAATACCACGCTTGATTATATCTATCTATCTATCTATCTATCTATCTATCTATCTATCTATCTATCTATCTATCTATCTATCATCTATCTATCTATCTATCTATCTATCTATCTATCTATCTATCTATCCATCCATCCATCCATCCATCCATCCATCCATCTTTGCAATATTTAATTATTATAATTATCCCTGCTAGAAAAAGGTGCTAATAGAAGAAGGAAGACTAACTTAAATGTAGGTTGGACTGATTACAAGAAGGCATATTCCTTCTAACATTGTCAATATCTTCATTTTAATGAAAGGTTTCTCCTATTTTAGAAGCCTTGGCTATTAACTATTTCAATCTGTTACCCAGAATAGAAAATTAATACTTTTCAATATTTTCAAATGCTTGGAATTCTTGCTTGACCTTTTTCAATCATGCAAATAAAAACACAGGACATTAATTTTTTTAGGAAAAGCACAGTATATTTAACTCATCTCATAACAGAAAATTGTATTTTGTCAGGGAATCAAATGCTTTCTTGTAATCAAGCCAACCTACATTCAAGTTAGTCTTCCTTCTCCCACAGTTTTCCAAATTCATCTTGTCAATTAGGAATTGATCTTGTTCCTCTGCTGTTTGAGAAGTTACCTTTCTGCTCAGATGGAAAGCATTCACCTAAATGCTGTAAGAGTACACCCAGTTCTCAATTTGAATATTGTTTGTAAACAGAAAATTGGCCTGTAGTTACCCGATACTACCCCTTTTGTTGGATCTTTCACTATTAGATATGTTTTGCCAGATGTTAACCAACTTTTAATTTCACCCTTTATTATTTTTACATATACAACAACGTGTAATCATTGCATGTTGGTATTTGAGCATAGTATGTGTGCAAATCCCAGCAGTGTGTGGCCTTTTATAATTGACAGATGGAATGTTTGTCAATGTGCAGATTTTCTAAGTGCCATTGAAGCCTTTAGTTTATGCCATAATCTTTCGACTTTTTAAAATCTTTCTTATCTAATATTAACTTTGATTTTCAGATCTGGATACTTTGTGAACTTCTCCACTTCTTTGCCTTTTATTTTAATATTCCTTTTATTCTACTACATTGTGACATGATTGTAATTATTATTATATCATTATAATTAAAGCCCCGAAGAAATGAAAAGGTTTAATACAAGTCTTTAAAAACAAATAATTAACTTCCTTACCATATTCCTTGGATTAGACATAAGAAAATGCTGAGCAACATGTGCTGGCAACAGATTGAAAAGTATTCGTTTGTTATCTAGTTTCACTCTCTCCATATCATCTCTTTCCTCTTCTGCCTGTCAAGAGAAAAAAAATGTTCTAAACCAAGGGCCTTCAAACTTGGCAAGTTTAAGACTTGTGGACTTCAACTCCCAGAATTCCTGAGTTAACATGACTGGAGGAAGAATTTTGGGAGTTGAAGTCCACAAGTCCTAAAGCTGTCAAGTTTGAAGACCCTTATTCTAAACAACAAAGGCTGTAAATATCAATAGACCTGGTAAGGATATAGGCCTTTTAGATAGCAACCAGCAATTTGAATTGCATCTGGAAGCAAAGTGGTAACTTATGCAGCAAAGGTTCAAATGAGCATACAGAAGTATGCCCAACAGTGCCCGCACTACTGCATTCTGGTCCAGCTGAACCTTCCAGATGGTCTTCCACAGCAGCTACATGTAAAGCCACTGCAGTAGTCAAGCTATGAAGTGACCAGGAAATGAGCGACTGTCTGAAAAATCTGCCAATCTAGAAAAATGCAGAACTGATATATCAGATGACTTTTCCTGACCATAGATGTCATTTGCTCATTAAGCAGAATTTGTGAATCAAAGAAGACACCCAAGTTGTGCACCATCCTTGAATGGGGAAGTATAACTTCATTTAAGGTCGAAATTGGAATATCCACAGATAGTCCAAGATCCACTTTGTCAGATCTACAGATATTCTAAGTTTGACTTAGGATGAAATTACACTGGTGTATCCAAGGATAGTAGGATACCATGCCTGATGGTTGTGCGACTGAGAATCAAGGTGTACAAGATGCACCACCACCATCTAGGATGCATCACAGGTCATCGACAACCATACCTGTCTCAGTATTAAAAACTGGCCTGAAACCTGTTTAAAAGGGTCTAGATAATCTATTTCCTCCAAAATTGTCCTCAGCTGCAGACTGACCACCTTCGAACAATTTTCCACAAGAAGGGAAAGTTGGAGAATGGGTAATAGTTATCAAACATCATTTGGTCCAAGGACAGCTTCTTATGGAGGGGGTGCACCTTTCAAAACTGGGCACCACTTTCTCTCTCAAAAAGGCCAACACTATTGCATGGATCCAACTGCAGGTCACTTCTTTGGCCACTTTCACAACTCATGAGGGACCTGGATCCAGTAAACAAGTGGTTAGGTCAGCAGAGACACCTGTTCACTTTCTTAGGAGTCATTGGTTCAAACATATCCCAGATCAGACCACCAAGACATATCCCAGGTATTTCATCCTCCTTCCCAATCAAAGTCTAACACGGAACAAATCTGGGTGAATTTATCCATTAGATTCCCTGAATAATGTTCAAAATGGCCGAGCAGATGTTCTACATTCCCTACTCAATAGGGAATGGGTCATTCTAAAAGGGCTCCTTGAAAGTTATCAGGAGAAATACTGACATTTCATTGCCCTTATTACCATGAGATATTCCTTAATATGGGGCTACTGCTCATGTTCAATCACTTTGAGTCTTCTAGTGTTATTCAAGATATCTCTTTTGATGCTTCATTTCCAAGAGCTCCTAAATAAACTGAGATACATCCTGTGATTAGTATATAGGGAGAGGCCATATAGAAGCAATATGATCCAAAGATGCAGCCACGTACCCATTACAGCCAGTGACTAGAGCCATAACTGAACTGTCCACCAGATTCCAAGAACTTCCAGTTCTCTCTAGAACTCCACTGGGTTCATTAATTGAACAATTGAATGGGTCTTGTCTCTTCCTGCAGGGAATACCAGTGAGCTGAAGGCAACTAGGTAATTATCTGTCTACTGAAATGGACTGTTGTTAATATCCTCCACTGACAGATTGTATCCCAACTGGCCTGAGACAATCAGATATAACCTGTGTCCTCCATAGGTATTTGGCCATAAATGACTTGGGACAGATTGCTGGTTGCCAGGAAAGCCATCAGTTCTTGAGCTGCCCTATAATACTGGCAACCTGAAATCTCTAGAATGAACAACTTTGGGGATTCTATTGCAACCGACCAATGAAAGTTAGCAGTTCAAGCAGCAAGAAGCATCGTAGCAACCTGTTCCCTTGAGTCCAAATGACCTCATAACTGGTTACCTGTGAAGCCCCTGACAGCTGTAATGATTTTCAGATGACATGAGCCACTCTTTCTTCCTCGTCTCCTGGATTCTTGGCTTGTGCAAAACACAAAACCCGTGGGACATTTTTGTGAGAGAGGAACTCCTCCCTGAGCACAACCAGATCTTAATAAGACATGCCACATTAGCACATGATAAGATCTTGCCACACACCCACTTAGTATTCAAAAGCAACAGCTGAAGCCCAAGGCTACCAAGGAATCTGTTGCCTGGCTCAGAGGGTAGAAACTGAAAGCAGGGCAAGAGAATGGCTTTCAAACAACTATGTATTTCTCTGTCCATCACTGTCCCAGTGGTCCAGCCTGCCCTTCAGCACCCCCTAGTCTACTCTTACCCCTCACATCCTGCTCCTAGGTCAAAACATATATAATCAATACTGCCCTATCATCAAACCCAAAGCCCTGGCAGCCTACTCCTTGCAACTCACAGGGAACTTCCCTGGCTGCACTTGCCCGCTTACTTGGCAGTCTCAGGAGTGAACAAATCCTTGTGGTAGAGGAAAAAAAGAAAAAGGAAACACCCCAGATTCACTTAACTTTCCTACCTGTAGACTGGCAAATCACCTTTCCTCAATTAAAAACAGGCTCAGCAACCAAAGACCTTAACCACACACCATAATATCCAGGAAGTCCAGGTTAGCCACACTTCCAATGTTGGGGATAGGCAAAAACAAAGCTGGTTTACTGTGCACCTGAGGCTCTTTAGCCCTCACAAGCACCAAGACCATTACCGTGATTTTTCAGGTTTCCAAGGTCAACTCTACTAGTCACCATCTTCTTTGAATTCCAATTCCAATAATTTATATTCTGATTAATTTGGAAGTTGGAAATTAAACATATCTCCTAATTATTTACTTATCTCTATGAAAAGCTACAAACAGAGTCCACACAAGAAGCAGATAATAAACAGTTACAAGAAAGTTTCTGAGCAATTGGTTCAATGAACTCTTAGGTTTTCTGCGGAAAGTCCATTTCTTTAAGGCCAAAGTAGCTAAACAGGAGAAAATGGGAGAGACAGCTGGCAAGAGAGACCTTCAGGATCAGACACTGGTATCAAAAGTCATAAAAATAAAGTTGATGTGAATCCTAGAAAGAGAGGACATTCTTTTAGAAGAGATTAAGTTCTTGGAGGCTAAACAGATTTCATGTAATACTAGTGTGTTTCTAGTATGGCAAGCTCTTAGGTCTTCCTATAACAGATAGTGATGCTACAACTGGAGTGGTTCCCCTGGCGACAGCATCACCCATTAGTGTAGGAGAAACTATGAATACACAAAATCATGGATCCACTCTTTTAATGATACTCCTTTGCCATCAAGAGACAATACAGGTGTCAGGATTCCAGTGATCACCCTAATTAAATCATGAGCCTTGAGCCAAACTTCAAAAAGCTTCAAAGAATTCATTAGGAGCAACATATTGGCATGACCTGTATGTAGCTGATTCTGAGACACGTAATTCACTATCACCCTTGACCCTGGTTTTCCCCTGACCCCTCTGGGTGTATCATAATTCATATTCTCCACTGAAACACGTCCATAGCCAAGAGTCATCAATCATGTTCTCTAATTAGAGATTTGCACGGCAGAAACTCCAGTCGGTTAGTATAATCTTTGCAAGGTATGCATGGAATGCACTTTCGATTCCAAACTGCTGCACTGCTCTTTCAAACTCTTCCCCCATTTCTGTTGACAATTATAAAACGGCCATAGAAAATGTTTTATGAATTGACATTTGGCTCCCCTCACTTCTTGAAGGTGACCTGAACCACACACACACACACACACACACACACACACACATGCACCCCAAATTGATTGCAGGTATAGAACTTAGGATTGCAAACCCCTCCTCCCCAGGCTTGGTTGGATTTTCTGTATGGAACCTTGCTACAAGATGATCAGCTTGGACGTTCCTACTCTTTACCCAAGAGGGCTGTGAAAATATTTACAGACCTCTCACATCTCGGACATAAATTGTTTCAACTCCTTCCCTCAAAACGATGCTATAGAGCACTGCACAGCAGAACTAGACACAAGAACAGTTTTTTTTCCAAAATCTTATCTGCTAAACAAATAATTCCCTCAATATTGTTCAACTATTTACAAAGTCTGCACTACTACTACTATTAATCTTCTCCTCACTCCTTATCACCCATCTTCTCCCACTTGTGACTGTATGACTGTAACTTTGTTGCTTGTATCCTTACGATTTATATTTACTGTCCCCTAGTATGATTTGATTGCTTATTGTACCCTATGACTATTATTAGGTGATATACCTTATGATTCTTGGCTCTTGACGAATGTATCTTTTCTTTTATGTACACTGAGAGCATATGCACAAAGACAAATTCCTTGTGTGTCCAGTCACACTCGGTCAATAAAGAATTCCATTCCATTCCATCCCATCCCATCCCATCCCATCCCATCTATCTATGCCTCTGATAAGGGGTAGCCCTTCCACTTGATTAAATATTGGAGTTGTCTCCTGTGCCACCTTGAATCAAGGATTCTCTGCATCTCATAATGGGTTTGGCTTCCTATAACCATGAGGTCTGGGAGCTCACGAGGTAGGGGCCTCAGGTCGATCTGACCATGGGTTTTAAGAGGCTACTATGGAATACTGGGTGTATTTTCCCTAACGATTGGGGCAATTTCAATTGCACCGTGACTGAGTTGATGATCTTTACTATGGGGAATGGTCCCTTGAACTTTGGCCCCAATTTCTTGCTAGGGAGTCTTAACCTGATATTTGGTGGACAGGTAGACCTTCTCCCCCAACTGGAATGGCCATTGCAGGGCTCAGTGTTTGTCTGCCTGTCTCTTATAAGTCTGTGCCACTTTTGCCAGCACTTTTTTGACATTCTCCCAAGTTGCTTTAAGTATTGACATTCAATCAGTCAGGCTGACTGAGGAGG